ATTCTTTTGGATTGATGTTTGAAAGGGGGTCCCTTTTTGAAGCCTCGTGGGAACCCCTTTTTTGCGGATTGATCCATCTCTCAAGTATTTGAACCCCCTTGATCTCTCTCTGAAGGGGATAATCATTGTGGGTGAGGGTCAGCTGTATGATTTCAATTTTCTACCATGGTACAATCAATTGACCCAAGTTTTTTTTCCTTTTTTTTTTTTTTTTTTTTCCCGCTTGCGGTAACTACGTGGGAGTCACAAAAACGAGTTATAATTTCACTATGGGCCAAGATACAGTTGGCAATTGCACTTCGGGCACCGTACCTGGCCAGAAAGCTGGGTTGTATGCATTGCCTGAACAACAATTGCAAACTGTATCTTGGCCCATACTGCACTTATCACTCATTTTCTGTGACTCCCATGTAGTTTGATTTTTTTTTTTGCTTGATTTTTTTTTTTTCTGCTTCGAAGGCTTTGGGTAAGTTATCACCGAACAGGAATGAGTTGTATAGGGATTATTTTTTTTTTTCCGCTTGGAAGGCGTTGGCCAAGTTATCACCGAACAAGAATGAGTCGTATAGGGATTCGAACCTGTGATCTGTGTATCTGTTTATTAAGCCACCAGTACTTCATGAAGTCGTGCCCGTAAACAGCCCACAGTCTTAGGAAACGTATGTTGCACTACAGGAGCGCCCAAATTGATCCGACTAGAAACAGTTTTGACTCTACTTTGTTCCGCGGTCGATAGCTGGGCCAATTAACAGTGGTGGTTTAACAGTGGCATGGACTGACTATTTGCCCACCATGCAAGCACTTGACTGGAATTGGCTCCCGATGGACGAGGGGATGACCCTGCAACAGAATTGTGCTGCTCCCGCTGGGGGGTGGAGGGGGCGGGGGAATGCAGTGCTGCTGCTGCTGCTGCTGCTGAGCTCAGGCCCTAAGACAACTGGCACAATCGCTGAACCAATGTCCCAATATGGATGTGGTGCTGCTGCCGCTCAGAGGGGGGTGGGGGTGGGGGCAGGGAACGCAGGGAACGTAGCGCGTGCCGCAGGTGGGCTCATGCCCCAAAACGAGTGTGCCAGTGGCGTGTCTAAGGCCCAATTCTATGGAAGTAAATATGCTGGTAGTAACCGCCGGGTAGTTTGGACCGTCTCTCCTCCAACTGCGGTCGTCTTACCACTGTCAGAATAAAATGACTCTGCGGTCGTCTTACCACTGTCAGAATAAAATGACTTTTTTTTTCGTTTTTTTGTTGTTCAGCTATGCTATATTCTTCTTTCAAGTATCCCTTACGCTACCTAGCTAGGGCTACATGTACCTAGGCAGGTGGAACTGTGCCCCGGTGTGAGGAAACCCTGGGAGGGGCCACCTGTTTGTCGCTGAAGCCAGAGGCAGTGGCGCCTGTTACCCGTGGGGCTTTTATTGGTCCTCAGTGGCGATCAGGGGTCGTGGAGATGATATGCCTGTCACGCCCCAATTTAGAGCCTGTGTCTGAACTCACTCTTCAATATCGGAAATAAATTGAATTAAAAGAAATAAAATAAAATAAAATAGTCTGATTGGTGCCCGCTGCAGCTCTACGCTGTCATTGCAGTGTTATTACATTGTTCCGTATCCTCTGAATCAGTGGGTTTGTAAAGAATACCAGTTGATTGAATACTTGATTGCCAAGTTAGTTTTCAATCTTTTAACAGAACCCTCGTGCATTGCTCGAGGGTAGACTGATTATTGAGAGTTCACACCACACTCACCATTCAAATCCACCTGTCCGGCCAATGATCAACAAGATCATGATTCCACAATGAGCGGTATGAAACTGACTCGTCAATGAATGTAAGCATAGTTCAAGGAACAAGTAGTGTTTGTCCTCCTAATAAGCAACAGTTTTCTGCTCTGTCTATGAGTAGCAAATGTTTTACCTTCCAATGACTAGCGAATGTCCCATCTTCCAATGAGCATCGGGTGTCTGACCCGTCAATGAGCATGTGTCTGACCCATTGATGAGCATCGGATGTCTGATCTTCCAATGAGCATCGAGGGTCTGATCTGCCAATGAGCATGGGCTTTTTGATATCCCAATTGGCAGCAAAAGCTAATAAGCAACAGTTTTCTGCTCTGTCTATGAGTGCAAATGTTTTACCTTCCAATGAGCAGTGAATGTCCCACTTCCAATGAGCATCGGGTGTCTGACCCATCAATGAGCATGTGTGTCCGACTCATTGATGAGCAGCGGATGTCTGATCTTCCAATGAGCATCGGGGGTCTGATCTGCCAATGAGCATGGGCTTTTTGATATGCCAATTGGCAGCAAAAGCCTGATCTGCCAACGAGCACCGGGGGCCGTCAATGTGCAACGGGTGTCTGATCAGCCAATGAGCATGGGTTTTCTGATCTGCCAATTGGCAGTGAAAGTCTGATCTGCCAATGAGCATCGAATATCTGATAGTCCAATGAGCATCGAATGTCTGACCTGTCAATGAGCAGTGGGTGTCTGACACGTCTTTGAGCAGCGGATGTTTGACCCGTTGATGAGCAGCGGATGTCTGATCTTCAAATGAGCATCGGTTTTCTGATCTACCGATTGGCAATGAAAGTCTGATCTGCCAATTTTCCTCTTCAATTTCTTGTTTGTTATGCAGGTTGTGCTATGGGAGAATTTTTCTGAAACAATTGAATGCACACTCTATAATTATCTATGATGATCTAAGTAAACAATCAGTGGCATATCAACGAATGTCAAACACATTCAATCAAGGTTGTCAATGTCGAGCTTGTTAAAGTGCACGGGGTCTTACCATCTAGCGGCTGGTACTCCGCATCTTCACGGAGAATTCAATTTTCCCTAGCCCATTCGTTAGCCCTCTTTCTCACTTTCAGGGCTTATTCTCTCTCTCTCTCATGCACACACACACACACACTGTTACATCTTCGACGGACACGGGTCCTACCGGACCCGACTTAGGGCCAGAGGGACACATCAGGGTCTAAAGGCCCGACCTTGGGATAGTACAGGCCCTCAGGGCCTGATCTTGGACCAGTACCCGACGGGCAGGCCCAAACGGCATTATCGTTTGGGCCTGGCGGCGCTCTTGAGGCTGCYGCCCGCYGGTTGGKGCTRAACCGTCCATCTGGACGGTTCAGGGMATGGCCAGGCCTCGCAGCATTGAGGCCGGCYTCTGCCCCACCGGTATRAAGTACCGGTACAGCCTCACTYGGAGGCATCRACCTACCGGCACTATACCGGTRCGGTATGGTCAGCGCCAGAGCGCTGTTTTAATGCGCTAAGTTTAGCGCAGGAGYGAGCAAKGAGCAGCAGCGGCAGCGCAGCATTAGCGCAGCAGCAAGCGGAGCAGCAGCAGGGCGACTGAGCCAGCACGGCGGCCATTGCCGCCTGAGGTACCTGGGAGACGGAGGACCTCTCCTCCCTCCCTCGTCAGCTCTCTCTCTCTCTCTCTCCTCCTCCTCCTTCTTCTTCTTCTTCTTCTTCTTCTTCAGACTAGAGACTTATGCTAGTTGGACAGAGATCAGAGTTGGATTTCGGTGATATGAGACTGTGGTACTTACCAGATTGGAGACTTGGAGATCGTTGGGGTTGATACTTGGCGACATCACAGTTCAGACACCGGTTACATTTGGACTCTGTATCCCCGACATTGGTGACCTATGGTCCTCGACATTTTGATCTTGTTGGACGACATTTTGGACTACCATATTGGTGACCTATCAGATTCTACCTCGGTGACGTTCGGTGCTGATTCTACCTCGGTGACGTTCGGTGCTGTCAACCTCCCCACCTCTTTGTCTCTCCTCCCCCATTCATCTGTGTATGTGTGTACGGGGCTGAGCATCTTCTATGTATGGCTCAGACCTCACCATCTCACGATTGAATGTGTGTGGAGTGATGCTATGTGAGTCAGTCTATGTGAGTCAGTCCGTTTATCAGACTTCCGTTGCAT